TCATCACAGACAACCTGGCAATGGTGGAATGTCAAGAAGAAGAAAGCCCTGGAATTAGGGAGTATTGCACAGCATATGTGGGAAGACAGCTCATCTAAAACCCCCTAGAACAAGAGCAATTCCACTAGATGGGAAGAACACAAAAGAAGCCAGTGGAAAACTGGAAATCAGATTTTAAAAATCAGAAGCAAAATTTAAAATCTTAGAAAAGAAGACACCAAAGTAAACAGAGAAAAGGACAAAAGAAACGAGGCAGTCCTGAGTGTTGAGGGAGATCGAGGTTTTGCAGAGCTACATTAGGTCAAAGTCAGGTTAAGGAAATGAAACCAGTAGTGTCCAAATAATAAGAGAAGTGACTGTTGGGTGCCACACCTGATTTTCATTGAGCAACTTTTTCATTGTGCAGATTTCAGTAGCAGTAATGTGCTAAAGTAGCTATTATGCCAATTTTCCTTCTTTTCGTTTTAATTGTATCAAAAATCACAGATGATTCAAGTAAAATGTCATACAAACCTTCATTTTCCCTTTGGCTCATGACTACTAGAATGTATAAAGTTGGTAAACTGTTTTATTCCCTCAGCACTTTCTGATCACAAAATAATAGAACAATTTGAAAGACAGTACTTATGTAACTGTTCTTGTACTTTTGTATCATCCTGAAACAGGAAGAGCACATTCCCTTCCAAAATATGCTCTGAGAAAACTCCTAGCTTGCAGAAACTACATATATGCATGTTAGTAATAATGGCAAAGCACTTTAATCATTCAGCTAATCATTCAATTAATTATCACAGAATAGCCTGGGTTGGATGGGACCTTAAAGATCATCTAGGTTTAAGAAAAATATTTTTAAGAGCTGCCAGCTCTGGTCAGCTTCTTTATCCCTATGGACAGTTTTCCAGGGAATCATATTCACCAACTCCTAAACAACTAGAAGTCTGTTCCTTCAAAGTTTGGGGTCCCAACTTAGCTCCTTGCCAGGCTCACAATCCTCACAATCTCCACCAGGGAGCGGTCACTGCAGTCCAGGCTTTCACCAATCTTGGCCCCTCTAATGAGCTCATCTGCATTGGTAAGCACCAGCACCCATAATCCTTCTCTTCTGTGATGCCTGGACCAGGAAAATGTCTCTACACACTCCAGGAGTCTCCTAGATTGCTTATAGCCACTGGATTGCTATTTAAAAATAAAATTTCTTAACTGTTACAGTTTTACCACTACCTGTAAAGAAATATATTTAATGAAGAGGCTAAAATATCAATAGTTCCATTTCATAAGTCATCCTTTGGCTGTAATAATCTCACACAATGATTTATAGATTACCTGTTTAACTTCATATATGTAACACAAAACCTGCTGAAGTCAACAAGCACATTCCTCAGGGATCCCCCTGGGACATGACTGGTTCTTGGTTTGCACACTGACAGCACCACATCAAGTCATGCATGCAGCCTCACTGCAGAGGTTACAGGCCACAGGGTGCACCCCTCCCCTCAGCCAAACCACTTTATCATGACTGATATCCTCTAAGCTCAGGAAAACAGATGGGATCATCTTAATTAGGCAAATTTGATAACAGCAATTAAAGGTAATATGCCCACAGTGTTATTCCAAGTCTGTTTCCAACCTCAAAAGTGAAGCATTACTCAGCAGAATAGTTACTGTGAACTGCTGTGTTTGTGGATTTGCCCTAATATGAACCTAAACTGAAGTGGGAATGTTTTTGCTAATCTCCATAGGTAGCCTGATAAACTGGCTGTTCACTAGCACCCAGTCTGGCTACAGACAGTGCCTCTGCAAAAACAGCCAAGGTATTTCTAACTTAACACATTTTACTTTGCCTTTACCATCAAGTGTTGCAAAGGAAGAAACTATGCATGAAATGTTATTCCAGATTGAACACTGGAATAACTCAGTGTTCAGTATAACTTCAGTACTCTAGTGCTGCCCTGAAATTAGCCTACAGGCTCTATTCTACACATAGCCTCTTGAGAAGCTAAGTGAATCTTAAAACAAGTGGAAAAAATGTATGAAATTGTTAGTCAGGACTCGTTCCACTATCTCCAAAGGTTAGAACTATTAGAACTTCCATCCACACCATTATTCACAGCTTCATGGTCATATTGGTTCCTTTGCCTGATGCTCACTACAGGCTTGGTACACCCACTGTGAAAATGGCCAGACACATGACAGTGAACAATCAGGCTTATGATGTAATCACAGGCTAAAACGAATCAAATGGGATTCTAATTTGGGGTAGAGGGAGGCGAAAGGAAGGGAGAAAGAAGGTAAAAAATAAAAATCTGTGAGATGCTTGTTTTAATACTTTGCCTTTCTGCTCTGAATTAACGCTAAAGTATAGAACACTGTGCAGCAGAAAGCTTGCATACAGGAAAGTATCACTATTTAAAATATTTCAAGATGTATAAACAGGATCAGAGCAGAAAGGGATGACTCCTCATTCAGTTTTCCTGTTTATTTACTCTGAGCAATTAGAGCAGTTTTTAATATTTTCCATTTTGGCTGTTGATATCTTTGACAATGCAATAAGCAAGATGGCATTTTGGCATGTTTGCAAAAGTAGAAGAACTGGCACAGGCACTCCAGCAACTGGTGGTAATGTCTTCTTTTGCACTTATATTAGATTTTATATTCATGCATTCTCTTTTAAGAGCACTAAGCAAGTGAAACCCCACTTTGATTGCAGTTACCCCACTTTGATTGCTGATGAAACTCTGAACAGGTTTCATCACCACAAGTGCTGCACCCACAAAAAACTGCATTATAGCTAAATAATGGCCCTACAGTGTTTCTAAACGTTTTCCTACAGACTGATCTAATTCTGAGGTATTTTCTCAGTCATACAACAAATTAATTTGGATCTGGAACATAATTCTTTTTTTTCTTCTTAGCACAAATCATTTGACATTTTAAAGCTTAAGAATTTCAGGTGTTTGTTATTAAATATGCAGGAAGAATTTTTAAAAAATTTCTATTGGCAGTGTAAAAAATAGTTAAAATAATGTGAAGTGTGTAATGTTACTTATTTCCAGAGTACGCATAAAAATAATTTAGGAAAATGTGCAAATATTAATTGTTGAAAACTAAGCATATAGTCTTTCTTAATAGAGAACATTTTCCAAGTGTATATTAATTTGGCATTATTATTACTATTTCTGCTGCAGAGGATCTGGGAAATTCAGATTTCAGAATCTGAAAGCAAGGATTTCTCAACTTTCCTCCTCCCCTCCATTCTGCTGAGTACTGCCCACATCAGCTCCCAGTTATGAGTGGTATGCATGACAATTTGGGAATCCCATCCCAGAGAGTGTATGGGGAATACTCAGCTACAATTTCTTCAAATGTTGACCTCCACAACCTCTTCATTACTCATTACTAATTAATATGGCTACATGTCAGTAAAACTGTGAAGTACTCTTGCCTCATAATCGTGGTGTTTGTCTCCCTGAGCACCAGAAGTGCTAGAAGCACACACAGACACACAGCAATGGAAAAATCTGTGCAGATCAATTCACAGTCCCCCTGAAACACAAAGAAATAATAGTCTGGCCGGAATATTATTTGAAATCTTACTATGTCATGCTTAGAATTTGTCTAATTCTTCTTTAGGGGAAGAAGGGCAGACTTAGACATTACTCCAAACCATACATATAGTTTTTATATACATATATACATGTAGATATACACATATATACACACATACAATAACAATATATCCACAATAGGCTACAATAACTATTTGCTGCCTAGACGTGGCGATTCCCGCCCTGTGACGCCGCGGGTCACCGATGACACAGACAGTGCCCGTGCCGAGGCAGGCGCAGCCTCCGCCGGGCTCCCCTCACAGCACGGCCGCACCCTCAGCCCCGCGCTCGGAAGCCGCCAACCCATCCAGTCCTGTTTGAGTCATTAATCACGCAGTCGCTGCTTCCTCCCGTGACTAATGTTCCCTCCACGCAGCCACTGTTACAGGGGTTCTGTGAGCGCCCCAAAACAGCCCAGGTACGTGTGAGCAAGACAGGAGATGGTCTCTAGCGCAAATCGCTACTCTTGCTGCTATTACAGTGGTTACGTGACCAGGCCTTCAACTATTTTAAAGGCTTTGTCATTTTTTTACCCGAGTATTCTCAAAGTTATATATAGACCCGATTTAAATTTGGAATGACAAATGCACGGGGCGGGGGATGCTCAGCCCGCCTCCTCGGCAGCGCTCCGTGCTCCAGTCACCGCGACCCCGGCCGGCGGGGCTCCCCTGCATCCGGGCGGCTCCTCAGCCCCCTCACAGACGAGACACGCGGAGCTGATCCCGACCTTCCCCGGCGACACCGCAGCGGGCCCGTCCGGCCACGCAGTGGAGAGCGGCGACGCCGGGGCGGGTGGACCCGCGGCCGAGGGACACCGCCCTTTCCCAGCCTTTCCCAGCGCCGCCGGCGCCCCCTGACCGCGGGAAACGCTCCCCCCCAAGCCTCCTCCTCCCGCTGCCGCCGGGCTAAGGCTGGGCTGGGCTGGGCCTGTCCGCGCTCCCGAAGCCGCCCCACCCCAGGCCGGACCCACCTCGAGCGACCCCGCCTGACGCGGCGCCCGCAGCCCCCGTGGGGAGGGGGCGGCCCGGGCCCGCCCCGGCGCTGCCCCTCGGGCTCCCGCCCCGCCCGGGCGGGGAGGCGCTGGCGGCACATGCGCAGCCGCCTTCGCCCATCCAGTGCGGCAGCCGCGGGTGGAGAACCGCAGCGGCATCGCCGAGCGGCGCGGGCAGCGGGGGCCGGCCGGGGGGCGCCGGGGCCGCCGGGCAGCGTTGGGGAGCCGGCTCTGCTCCCGGCCCGTAGAGGCCGCCGCTGGGGCGGTGCGGGGCCGTGCGACGTTTTGGGGCCGGACCCCGGCGTTTTGACATCCCGGCGCTGGGAAGGGCCGCGTCCCGGCCTGCGGCGGCTGCGGGGGCCCTGCCGGCGGCTCCCGCCCCGGGCCGGGGCACTGGCGGCCGCCTGGGGCGCCCAGCCCTGGCCGCGGGGTCTCCCCAGGGAACGCGGGGCCGGGGCCGCCGGGGGCATTTCTTCGGAGGCGGAGGGACGGCGGCGTGAGTGAATTGAGACAAAGAGCGAGGAGGAGGAGGAGGAAGAAGAGGACACTCGGACTCGGCTACATTCCTGTGCAGAGAAAGGCGGGAGGCGGTGTTAGCCCTTTACGGACAGCTGGGTCCGGCGCTGCTCTCAGCTGCTGTCGGCGTATTTACAGCCGGCTCTCCCGGCCGTGGGAGGAGGACGGAGAAACAACCATGTAAGTTCCCAATTGCCGGGGGTCCTGTGAGAAGATGGGGGATGCCGCAGACGCCAAGGAGATGAGGAAGACTTTCATTGTTCCTGCCATCAAACCCTTTGACCATTATGATTTCTCCCGAGCGAAAATCGCCTGTAATCTGGCCTGGCTGGTGGCCAAAGCCTTTGGGACAGGTAGGTGGCGTCTCCTTCTTCCCTTTCTTTGATGCTGGTTCCTGCTTGGTTGCTTCGCTACTGAGGACGTGAGAGCCATTCCCTGAGGAGCTGAGAAGGGGGGGGAGATGTGTGGGAAATGCTTTTGGTCTGTTCCCTTATCCTTAAGATCTCTTACCCCTTGTGAGATGTTTTGTTTTTCTTTTGTTTTTCCTTAATTACACTTAGTCTTTTTGGAGTAGCCCCACTGTTTCCATCAGCAAGTAAATTTTGTGTATTGGTGCTCATATTGTTTTCCTTGAGTGAATCGATCTCTGTAAATAGTATTTTATTTATTACTCTGGTCACACTTCTACGATGCGAAAAAACCCCAGCAATCCACGTCTGTCATCTTGAAAATTTTCCTGGTATTGCTTAGGAGCAGAATTGGGGGCTGGCAATGGAAATGGGTTCTGACATGTGTGACAGTAGCCTGTAGCCATTTGAGTGGTTCAGCAATAAGAAGGTTTCAGGGAAAAGAGCATTTAGTGCCAGGTTTCGGCCTGCACAATACAGAAGGCTCTCCTTGTCTGTAAGTGTAAATGGAATCGATTTGTAATGCCTCCAAAAGGCATCAGTGCTCTGTCGTTGAAAACCTTGGACCTTGAGGAATACCAGACCTATTATTCTGTGCCTGAAATATTATTGGGCCTTGAGGAATACCAGACTTGCAGAGGTCTTCTGAGGGAAGCATTTTGAAAATTTACCAAGCTGGGGGATTTTTGTTTGGGTTTTGTTTGTTTGTTTTGGAATTTTTTTTAGGTTTGTTTTTAATTAAATTTTTTAGCTTTTTGGGGGGACTTGGGGTTGTTTGCTTATTGTTTGTGGGTTTTGGCTTTAGTATACCTGTAGTGTTGTAATAATTTAATATTCTGTTCATTAAAAATAATGTGTTTTTTGAAAGGTGAGGTAGATATCAACAATCATTACTTTTGCCATTGTTTATTTAAAAAATAACAGGAAAAGGTTCCTTCTTATGGAGTATTGCACCTTTTACATTTAGGGCCAGGGTGCTGTTATGTATTTAGCCTGGGTTAGGATGTATTTAGCATGTCTTTGTGGGACACACTTCTGGGAACTCATATTTGATGCAATGCTTCCAAAAAGTCACTTTTAAAGTGCTTGAATCTAGTGAAATTTCAGTGAGTGCATCACTTTAAAAAGAAAGAAAATATCAAAATATTGTTTCCATATAAAGATTTGTCAGTAAACTCTACTTGCTTTTCTTTGTGAATTCTGGACCAATAATATTTTGATATATGGCTTTATTAACTATGCAGGTATGAGAGGTAAAACAGTAGGGAAAATTCTTGGAAGTACCTAATTGAACATTTTCAGAGATGATTATATTTTTAGGTAGCTTGGTTCCATAGGGTTTACTCATAGGATTCTGAGTGTACAATGCTTGTACAATTATATAACCCGGCCTTCTAACCTGAAAACTTTTTTCTACTGGAGTTTGACAGATTCCCAACCTATGGTTGAAATGTCTTGATTCATACTGGTTGAGTTTCTATTGCATGTGTAAAGCCACTTGCAGGGAACTTTTCTGCTACTTTTTATAAAAAGTGTCATCCAAAACAAATTCCTTGACTCTTTCATGACTGGGGTTGTTCTGAGATGCTCAAATAAAACATGATCAGGGGGAATAATTGCTCCATCTGCTCTCTAATCACTGCAGTAATGTAACAGAAGGAAGAGAGGTAAGCACACACATTTGTAGTGTGTGGTCCCAATTCATTGTGATGTTTCTGGTCCCAGTTCTTCCACTAGGTTAATGTAACTAGAAATGTCAAAGAAAAGTTTGGCTGAAGTAGGGAAAGACAGTATTCAGGACTTGCATGTCTGCAGTACAAATGCTTCCTTTATACTTGGAGTGAAACAGAAGAACTGACCTTCACCTTTTCCAAGAAGGAAGGAAGTTTGGGTTGGTTAAATTATTTTAGTTCTTAGGAATAAATCACAGCCTCAGTCATGTCTTCTAACTACTGCTATATACATTTGTACAGAGAAACACAAAGGATGATTAGTGTGTTTATGGGTGCCACATTTTATTTCTTTTTTTGAGCTTGAAGTATTGAAGTTCCCTAAGGCTGCAGGGGAAGGTGAAGGGTTTTTCCCTATGAAACAAAGTAATGCAGTTCACTTTCATTAAGGAAAAGCATAGGTTGTTACAATCATGTATCCATTAAAGAAATCCAATTCTTTATGTATCAAAGGGTGCATCTTTCAGTGGATGGCTTTCACAGTCTTAAAACATATTTCAATACAATCAGAGTTGTGGATACAGCTTGACTATGTGTTGTGCATTTGCTTTGAAAAATCCTTAGAATAGGTACTGTTCATTACCATTTCTAATGACTTCTGGTGTTTCATTGATACCTAGATCCAAAAACTCAGAGAAAAATTGTCTCTTGCTATTGTCCTTGGTTAAAGTGCAAGTGTAGAGTTTGATCCACAACACAGGCAGGTCAAAAGAAGTTGTCCTATTAGTGAGGTGTCACAGGAGAGTAAGTATGTATTAACAGTCATGTTGAAGGCATCTTGTATGAAGAATTGGTTAAGAAATACTAATTGAAGAAGGAATTCATATTTAAATGTTGAGGGTGTGTAGGATTTTATATCAGTGTTAGGACATGTCAGATTAAATGTTTTGTAATAATCAAATTGTTTAAGTGACACAACTTGCAGTAACTGAAAGGGAGAAAATTAACAAGTGTGAAGTATAAAAGGGGGAATGTTTGACTTTAGAAATTAAATCTGTAAATACTTAATTTCAGCCTTGTCTCCCAATGCTGGCAGTTAACTTTTTCAGTATAGAAAAATTTCTTCCCAAAGAACTGGGTGAACTGTATAGGCACTATAACCTTCAACTTAAAAGTATGATGGGACTTACTTCATAGGAATAAGTTGAAAAATGTCTTCATGTTGTGGTAGTCTGTGCTGTTTTTACTTCTAAAAGATGAGAATTGTGTTTCACTGTTTTGGAATGTGAAGTTTTTGCCTTCTCAGTCTGCTATAGTAATACAAAATGTGCCTGAAAAATTTGTTATTCATCCATGTTCCTAAAGACAGGCTGAGCTAAATATACATCATTCCTGACAGATGTTTGTTTAGCCTGTTTTTTGAAAATCACTAATTATAGACTTTCAACGGCATGTCTTTTAGTCAGTTTGGACCTCATTTATTTTTAGATGTTTGAGCAGAATCTTGATGTCTTTTGCTCCCTTGTTAAGCCATTACTTGCCCTCTTCCTGATGCTTCTGAGAATGGTGGGCATGTTACATTTTTATAACCCCTTTCATACAATAAAAGCAATGTCTGTTATATTGCTTGGACAAAACAGACTTCTTTTTGGTAGGTCAAACTTTTTTTTGCTCTCTGTGTTTATTAGGGGCTTGGGGTTGTTTGTTTTGGGGTTTTTTTGCTTGGTTGGTTTTTTGTATAATTTTTTCCTGTGGTTGGTTTACATGAGCTCTGTATTTAAATCTAGATCTGTTGGTCTAGCTAAACCGTTACCAATACAAGGTAAATTTGAAGAATTATTTCATGTTTCCAACCTATAATACTCTGATTTATTCACTAAAATATGATGTTTGCCATTTCTGCCTCAGCCTAGAATTGTTGACTCATGCAGTCTGTGATTCACTGTAGCTCTCTATCTTTCTCTGCAGAGCTGCTGCCTACTCAGTTGTTCCCATCTTATAATTGTACTGTTGTAGGTTCCTGCTTTGCAGCTATACTTACATAACTGCATCCTATTTCCAAACCACTCCTTCCACTTATCAAAATTATCTTGAATTATAATTTTGTCCTCCAAGGTGCTCCCAATCCTTCTGTAGCTTGGAATCACTTCTCTACAACCTTGTCTAGTGTGAAGAAAGATGTGAGCTCTTGAACCTGGAAGTACATGTTCTTCCCATTTGGTAGGGGACATCTGAGTACTCTTGGAAAATGGTTTTTCAAACCGCTTTTCATCCAATTTTTAGTTACAAACTTAAGAGAATATCTGTGTCTGATTTTCAGAAAAATATGGGAACAGTTTTAAATCAAGTTAAAGCTGCTGCAACTTTACTATCCATACAATATATTATTCTGTTTCAGTAATACATGTAACTGGTTAGCATGAGATTTTTATTTTTATTTTTGGACAAGAATAAACTAAAAGCAAAATAAAATGACAAAATCTGAGCAATTGCCATAAACATTTTTGTGTTTTCTAAAGTAAAAATAAGATAGTGTACCTTTTAACCTTAAATTTCACATTAAATGTATCCTTTATAGGTGTTTGAAGCAATAGCTTACAATTGCATCATCTACAAGTAAATATTACCCAAGAAACCTAAAATAGCTTTCTCCTGATGATTAATGTTTTCAGAACTGGTATGTGGCTACTTACTGCTCTCTGCCCATGTTGCCAGCAGAGCCATGAAGGGAGGAAATGAACACTGTGTATCTGACAGAAACAAGTTTGTAGCTAAATACTCTCATCTGTTGGATGTTGCAGGCCAGAGCAAATTTTAATCTTTTTCTAGCAGAAGTAATTTCTTCACTTGTATTCAGTCTGGCAGTAGCAAAACCTTGTAGAAGGGTTTGGAGTTCAAAAGCAAATGTTTGAGATTCTTGTGAGAATTTTTTTATGTAGATTTCATTACCTCTCTGAAATAGTTGCTGACAAATGGATACTTCAGTCAGTCCTACTACAATCAGTGGGTTAGACAGATCATCTACTGAGATCTTTTACGTGGAAGGTGGCTGTATCACTCCTTTCTGTAGAGCACATTTGTAATGTAGTTTGAGTGTAGATCACTTTTTTGAAGTAAATACATAAAATTACATGAACTTCTGGATCTGTTGGGTTTGACAGAGCCCTCTGAAGTTGTCCTGTGCGTGTACAAGTGTAAAGGAAGGTGATCAGTAAGGGGACAGTTGCAGGATTGGCAGCTGACAATGGACCTTTGGGGTATGGAATCTGTTCTTTC